GAACCAATCTTTGTACTTGCTATCTTTAAGATAATAAAGGGAACTAGAAGTATGAAATATATCCTGTCAAGTTGCAAAATTCCAAGTAATCCACTTTTTTTTCTTCAAAGTAAATGTTATCAATTGTTACTTGATTTATGTCATTTCTAACTCGATAGGAAATAAACAATGAAATGAAATTTTCAGAATGGGTTTTCTAGAGATTTTAGAAATTTCACTTTTTGAAATCATGCTCACTGTTGAGGAGTCCCATACTAAGACGAAACGGTCGTCCAGTGCTTCCAGGTTTTCCATAATGGTCTAGCTTCAATTGAATCATGATTTCAACCAGTGAAATGAAATTTGTTATATAATATTGATATGACATTATCTATTACACAATAGTCAGTGTAAATCATGATATTCAATAATCTCTTGATAATATACACGTATATAGATAGATTCACATTAACAGTATACTATACTATACTATGCTTTTTGTAATTTATTCTTTCATTGTTTACCAATTCCTTTTTTGTTGTTCGTTCGTTTGTTTGTTGTTTACATGTTATTTATTCTTGAAGTATTCCAACATTCAACGAATTATTCAATAGAATAAGTATCATGGAATAATTCAAAATTAATGACTCATTTATTTATAATGAATATTTCACTGTTGTAATGGTTATTAGAATTTGGAATAAATAAAGATGACTATTTTATTTTCTTTTTCTTTTTCTTTTAATTCAGTTTGTCGTTTTTCTTTTCTCTCTCATTTTTTTTTCTTTGTAAAGGTGTAATTTATGCAAATTTTATCAATAATATTCATTCAATCATAGTTTATGATGATGATGATGATTTAATTTGTTTTGTTATGTTGAATGATATAATTTGTTTGAATGGTTTGATTAGTTGGTTCTATCAAAAATCGATTTTTTTCTGAGTTGTGGCGAAACTATAATATATGGACGAATCAATAAGATATAAAATAACAGGTCTCCAATTTTCACGCGAAATTTATTGATCCATTTAGTTAAATTCAGTTTTGGTATTATGGATGATGTCAGTTCGTGATATAAACTTAAGGTATAATAATTGCTAGCCCTTAATTGTTATATCCTAGTGAAGATTGAATCACGAGTAATTTCTGAGATATATATATTAATTGACTAATATTATCTATACATTCTGATGATATAACTATTCAACAATTAAATTATGTATATTTATATTCCTCGTATTATAAGCTTTATGTTGACTTATTATTGATTTATTATTGTACGATTGACGGTTTCTAAGCTATGTTCAGTTTATTAACTACTGCCACCCACGTTCCCAACCACTTTTGGGCTTCATTGTGTTCACGTTATTTTCTATTTTATGGTACGTTGTAGTCTGTCTGGTTGATATATAAACCAAGTATGCTTGAAATAAATGATTCATATTGCAGAAGCTGGTGTTTGTATTCTGGACTCAAGTGGACGGGCTAGGTAGACTATAGGACCAAATAAGACACTAGGCTGTTCATACCGCTCGAACGTCATTGGTTTTGGCACGGTGCTAATATTGTATAAGTCGTATTTTGATTGGTGGATAAATCACGCGATAAAAGCCGAACATAAAATCATAACATTAACCATCAACTGTAAATCATAATTCCAATTCCTCACATTAGTTTATATCACTCATTTGGTCGTAGTTATTAAGTGGACACTCTCAAGGTTACTTTAGAGTTACTGAAATGTTGTCCATAAATTATAATCTTGTCGCACTAATTTTTCATTTCTTACTTATGAATAGAGAAATTTATATACTGCAAAGAAAAATGTTAAATTATTTTAACGAAATCGAATCATGAACTTGTTTAAGATGTAATCTATTTGAAAGTTATGTTATTACTTGTTTTTTTTTCTTATCAAGGTGTCATTTAGAGAGTAGATATTTTGTGTGAATAGTTTAAGAAATAATGTGATGTATGCTACTGATGTCGATAGATATAAGTAGTATGTATCAGCAATTGAATGTGAAATGCCTGATGACAGAAGGTTGAGTAAATCGAAAGGATGAGAACGAGAACAGAGAGTGATTGGTATGGAAACAAATAAATAGCAAAGTCTGAGACAATTGATGGATATTTTGCAAGTGAATTAATTGCTGTGTGGTTTGCAGATTTTACCAAGATATTCTGTAATGTAGTGTTAAAATACATTTGGTTGACCTCCCTTTCATGCGTTCTCATTCACTACAATAGTAGTAACCAATAAGGTCTCTAGATAGTAATTGACGATTGTAAAATTTATGGCTCAGCTTTCAAAGGTGAATGGTGAAATTTGATAGATGGAAAAGTTGAATTCAAACTTCTCATAAATTGTTACTCTATATAAGTTAAAATCCACGCTCCAAGAACGATTTAGTATAAGATTTAGGGATATTATTTTAGGGGTGGATAGTGGCTAATAGTAGAATGCTTGACGCACATTCCTTCCCATTTGGAACTCGTTAGTTTGATGTCTACTCCGGAACTTGTTCCCAGGTAGGACCAAATGTGTGATATGAATTCCACAACTAGCCACCGTTCATCCCTGATTATAACGTTTGTGACTCAATGGCATTATCGAGGCGATATGCACAGGATGTACATATATAAAAAAGAGACTCATGAGTTACAGTCCTCAACACCAATCGGAAGGTTCAAATAACTAATACAAATTAATTTAGAGACACTGTCGCTAGACAATTTAAATAAACTTTAACTTCAGGGAAGGGTAATATTTGCCTTTGTTATCAAATTCTTAGCGCATCAAAAATGAAATGACCGAGTGTTAATTACTGAATCCATCTCAATCACTAAGAAAACCAATAATCAGCTTAATCGAAACTAGTTTACATTTCAAATGATAATCAATATAACACCAATTAGAAACCAAAGCTTTGAACCCAGTAACCAGGTATCACGTGTGTAGTTAAGCATGGTAGGAGTAAAGCAGGTATCTTTAGCATAATGATGGTGCAGTATCACGAATTAACTTTATTTACAAATGGATAATATAGAGATTCAACTTTGTAGCTTCAGTTTATCATGATAGTAACAAAATTTCAAGGTCACTAGTTTGGTCGATTTAGAGTAATGTGCAAATACTACGAAATACTCTACAACTACTACAAATTAACTATCCGATGTTTTCTGTTAGTGGTTAGTGGAAATTCTCTTCAAAATCCATTGTATTTTAAGTTTATGAAATCACATAGACTTCTTAACCGTTCTTATTAGTTTTTATCTATTAAACTAACACTAATTAAAATAGTCTCATAGGTTCATGTGTGTACGCACGATTAAGTGTACTTCTACAGGGACTTTATCGAGATTATGAACCAATCTAAGTTAGACAACCACTAAAAACTTGGAAGCACTGGATGGTCGTTTCATCCTAATACGGAAGTCCTCAGGGATGTGCATCTACGACCTTGTGTCTGATAATCAAACCCATGACCTTCAATGTTACATGCAGACGCAAGTTTCACTGTGAAGCTGACCAGTGGAGCTCAACTATGTGAGGAAGTTACCTATCAAGAATGATTGAAAACGGTCATGCAGAATCGTAAACTAATTAAAGTTAGACTTTTACACCAATAGATCTCGGCTTAGTGATCTAGATATTATATGTTCACGCACGAAAACAAAAGTCTAGGGTTCCATCCCTTTTGGTTCGTGGAGGTAAAACATTCAAGAGTTCCATAAAAGGGTGAAACAGCTATTAAGTCCAATCAAATGTTAAATAACTATTTTACTTTGATCAATTTGTGATCTCAATGAAATTCAACAATCTCCCCAAACCCATACTGATAAAAATATTATCTTATGCAGTGATTTAAAGTTATCCAAACCAAAGTTTATATAAATTCACTTCGTATGGTTTACATGAACCTTTCCATTGATGTTTAGGACTGTAATTGATCAATTTCTTATTGGCATATATGCATACTGTGCATATTATCGTGATATTGCCTTAGTTCATAAGCATCATAAACAAAGGTGAATAATAGCTAGTAATGAAATCCATGAAGCGTATTACGTCCTATTTGAGACTCATCATACATTTCCAATAATTGACATTATAATACAAAGTTTCATTATTCAATTGATAATAATTATGACTATGACTTAAAATAATAAATTTACACTTTGTCACACACATGTATCATATTTGTTAATTGATCATATAACATATAACATAAACATGATGTAAACATGAGTAAACTTGTTTACTGTTCCTCTTCTTCCAATTATCCCAATTATATTCAACTTCTTAAATGATATCACATTGTAATGAATCTATTTCAATAGAGTATTTCATGACATAAATTTGAGTTTACATGACACCTAAAACTTTTTTTTATTTTCACATTGATAACAATAAATTAAACAGACTAATTTATGGTTTAACTCAATGTTATACTACTCAATTCTTTATCAATGTACACAATATACACGTATAAACTTGTGTATAATGTTGAATTAAACTTATCGTAAATAGTTAGTCTATCAACATCGTATACAAGTTGAAATGGTATAAAATTCTTTATATTTTAAAATGGTTTGTTTTATGTAATTCACTTATCTTAACAATGAACTAATTCAGATGATCATCATTTGATTAGATTTTTATAAATGAGAAACTATTTTATACTTATGACATTTGACAGTTCCTTTTCTCATCATTTATTATAGAACATCTGTTCCATTTAAGATATTGATGACAACTTTCAACATTCATAGAAATGATATTGTTGGGTGTGAATGAAACGGCAAACACTTGTGTTTATATATGTATATATGTAAGCGTGTATAATTATAAAAACTAATTACTATGATTACGTAATGAGTTAGGAATTATGACATTTATTGTATTGGAAAATTATTTCATCACTTGATATGGATTATGCTATAATAACTTATATCATAATATGAACAACATTGAAATTGAAAAATTGTCTTTGATATAACTTTAAACTTAAAATGTTCACTTTGAGAATTTAACATTTCGGCAAGAGTTGAATGTGATTGATGATGATGATGATGATGATGATGATGATGATGATGATGATGATGATGATGATGATGATGATGATGATGATGATGATGATGATGATGATGATGATGATGATGATGATGATGATGATGATGATGATGATGATGATGATGATGATGATGATGATGATGATGATGATGATGATGATGATGATGATGATGATGATGATGATGATGATGATGATGATGATGATGATGATGATGATGATGATGATGATGATGATGATGATGATGATGATGATGATGATGATGATGATGATGATGATGATGATGATGATGATGATGATGATGATGATGATGATGATGATGATGATGATGATGATGATGATGATGATGATGATGATGATGATGATGATGATGATGATGATGATGATGATGATGATGATGATGATGATGATGATGATGATGATGATGATGATGATGATGATGATGATGATGATGATGATGATGATGATGATGATGATGATGATGATGATGATGATGATGATGATGATGATGATGATGATGATGATGATGATGATGATGATGATGATGATGATGATGATGATGATGATGATGATGATGATGATGATGATGATGATGATGATGATGATGATGATGATGATGATGATGATGATGATGATGATGATGATGATGATGATGATGATGATGATGATGATGATGATGATGATGATGATGATGATGATGATGATGATGATGATGATGATGATGATGATGATGATGATGATGATGATGATGATGATGATGATGATGATGATGATGATGATGATGATGATGATGATGATGATGATGATGATGATGATGATGATGATGATGATGATGATGATGATGATGATGATGATGATGATGATGATGATGATGATGATGATGATGATGATGATGATGATGATGATGATGATGATGATGATGATGATGATGATGATGATGATGATGATGATGATGATGATGATGATGATGATGATGATGATGATGATGATGATGATGATGATGATGATGATGATGATGATGATGATGATGATGATGATGATGATGATGATGATGATGATGATGATGATGATGATGATGATGATGATGATGATGATGATGATGATGATGATGATGATGATGATGATGATGATGATGATGATGATGATGATGATGATGATGATGATGATGATGATGATGATGATGATGATGATGATGATGATGATGATGATGATGATGATGATGATGATGATGATGATGATGATGATGATGATGATGATGATGATGATGATGATGATGATGATGATGATGATGATGATGATGATGATGATGATGATGATGATGATGATGATGATGATGATGATGATGATGATGATGATGATGATGATGATGATGATGATGATGATGATGATGATGATGATGATGATGATGATGATGATGATGATGATGATGATGATGATGATGATGATGATGATGATGATGATGATGATGATGATGATGATGATGATGATGATGATGATGATGATGATGATGATGATGATGATGATGATGAGATGATGATGATGATGATGATGATGATGATGATGATGATGATGATGATGATGATGATGATGATGATGATGATGATGATGATGATGATGATGATGATGATGATGATGATGATGATGATGATGATGATGATGATGATGATGATGATGATGATCACTTCCGAATATAAAATTTAACAGATTTTTTAAATTGTATTCTTTTTTCTAAACGATGTTGTTTCACGCTTTCGTGAGATGAATATGACGGATTCGTTTAAATGATCTATAAATAAAACGCTGTTCTGTACATTACCTAGCACATGTACTATACGGCGAACAGATTTTAAAAGCTGGTTTAATTAAAAATTTATATTCTTGAAAGTGTACCTTTTTCACAATATTATAAATGCTTGTCTTCTCAAAAGTACATTTTTTGGTTAGTTAGAATTTCATTTACTTATTTCACGTGCGTGTACGTACATTTTTTGTGAGATCTAGGATGAGTTGGAGGGACTTATTGAAATGTGTTGAGAATTTCCTATTGTACTTAACATATGATCCTGAATAAAGCCATTATAATTACTAGTATCATCATTACAATAAAATATGAGTGAATACTTTCAGTCGCTTTAATAAGAGGCCAGTTAATGTATGAATATCTCAGTGATAACCACTGTGAATGCAATTTAATTCAATTGAACTAGAGGAATACTGATTCCCCAAAACTTTTGTTGCCAACTGCCAGGAAAGTTAGGGTCAAAAGTTAGTTTTGGCAGTTTGCAGCTAACAGTCAATTATGTAATTTGTTATTAAATGTTGTTATACAAATCATTAAGTTTGGCGTTTCACACATCGGGTTGTCTTTTGTTAGTTGGCTGCTGAAAACCAGGAACTACTGGACATCTTTGTCGTACCATGGGACTACAACAATGAGTACCCACGGTTACATCAGGGATCGAACCCAAGACTTGCAGTTATCATGATGAGATCTTAGCTTTCAAATTACTGGGCTTCGTCGCAGATGCTCACTCCAGAAGTGTCTCAAACACGGATGAAACTAGTACCCAGTGTTTCTTGATTTTTAATAGTTATCTAACCAAAATGGATCCTTGATATATAACCACAGGCTGTTTAAATATTAACCCTTGTCAATTTTGTTGATAGTCAAAGTTTGGTCATTGTCAAATGTTTCTAATAAGCCCTCATAGTTGTAAATTATAAGTTATTCTCTATTTGTTTATTATGCAAATTAAAATACCCAGTTTCTGTTAAAACTTACGATTTTCCATCGACTCCATTTGCTCGACTATCATTACAAATAATTACTAGTGGAATAGAAAGTAGTAACCATGCCATTATCGTACTGAAAATGCAAAAAAATTTCCTTACACAATACATACCTTCCATCTTATCCCTACATCATTCTTCCCTCTAAGATAATTTCTTTTCAAAAGTGTTGAACAGTTAGAAATATTCTTCAAAGTATACAATTTTCCTTTTCTTCCGAAAAAAAAAACCGACTCTTCTTTTTATACGGTCAATGAAATATAATCTTATCTGAATGTTACTTCTCACCGCTACATTACAGCTATGTTACCAAATTGGTTAAAATTGTTTTGACCTCAAAATTAAATTAATTCTATCTTTTTTTTTTAAAAAAAAGAGAAGTAAACAAACAGAGTATAGGAGGGGGGAGAAAGGTTATTTGAACAAGTGGTAAACCCATGTGATCGATTATTTTCTGTATGAAAAACATAGTTTCTATATACAATATCCTGACTGATTAGCCATTCTGTTAATTAATATGACAACTTTTACTTTTATTACATAAACACTATGTTAAGGATTGTAGAATTGTGTGATAATTATATCAAACTATGACAACTATATATCCAATTAAAATGTCTTTATTTGATCATTGGAACTTCAATAAAGAGATATGTATAAATCAAATGATCTAAATACTATAAACATACAATAAGGTGCATGATCTGTAGTTTAGAATCACTAGTTAACATAAATTATTTATTATGAAAATAGTATGAAACTTTTAGAAAGTAATAAGGAAGCTTCCCATTGTTGAGTTTGACTTCTTTACGATTTGCCAGAAATACTAGTAGATTTAGTAAACCATCGAAGCCAAGAGATTAATGCATTGTTATTAGAGCCATCTTCATAATAGTAGAAAGAAGGAGTAAAACTATCTCATCAATAATCTTCATTATCAGTTGATATCCGCTGAAAAACGTCAGAAATTCAGGGGTTACTGACACGGTTGTTCTGCCCTGATCTCGAACTCAATAGCATCAGTTGGTGATAAGAATTATCTTTAAATTATACAAAATCTCTTTTCAAGATCACTAAATACAACAATAATAGTCGTTTTTAGATAACAGACTAATTTCAAGATGGATTTTTTGAAGTCCTAGTAGGAACCTATGACTCAATGATTCAATCAAGGCGGATGGATGACAATAACTTATCTATAAGATTAGATAAGGATCATATCAAATTATGGATTCTGTAAAACTTCATTTTTTTTTATAGCACTAAGTTCTGACGAAAATTTGAAGATGTTTACCCAAGTTATTCCTGTCTTGAATTACAGATGTATGAAAGACTCAAACTAGGACAAAATAATTTGTAATGAAAATCGCCCTCAATTTATACCGAATCTTTGGGGGAAAAAACCCTATATTTATAGAATGGGAGTTGATTTAAGAATTGAAATACCACAATAGTACATCATTAATTTAATATCATTTTAGGCGTTGTGGAGATTGTCAAGTTTATGATTGAGATCATGAACCGATTGATGTTAGACCACCATTGAAAACCTGGAAGCACGGGATGGCTGTGTCGTCTTATTGTAGGACTCCTCAGCAGCGCGCATTTAGTTAGATTCATGAGTCACTTGAAGCCAGACAACTATGGAAAACCTGGAAGCACTAGTACGGCACTCCTTAGCAGAACCTATCGGTTTCACGCGCGAACGCTTGACCAATAGACAATGTCTTGCTTGTCTAGTCCTTATTAGTGCAGATCGAATGCTATCGATCATGTTGCAATGTGGCCACCAGTCTAGGTGACTCGACACTGCGGGCACTATGTATTGCTTCTTTAGATGGTGGTTGGAGGTAGTCAACAGGAAACGTCTCTGACTGTGAAGCTGGGTGACACGAGATCGAATCCGCCAGGGAGCACCAGTTCCCTCAAGATTACAGGTACACCTTGCTGACGAGTGCCAACTAGCACGAAACCCGGGTCCAGGGTTTCCTGTTGACTACCTCCAACCACCATCTAAATTTCAATAGACCACTGCTAAGGCATCCAATGGTGTGAATGTTTAACTTCAACCAATTGACGAAGTTGCGCCGCCGTCCATCATCATTAAACAAAAGTATGCATCTATACCCTAATTCTGTTCTTTACAAATGACATGAAATATCACTAACAATATATGATTATAAGATACTTTATCTTTTATCATTACAAAATAAATCTAGTTTCTTAATCAATGGAATCATATTTTTAATTTTTTTTTCTCTCTTTTTTTTGTTTTCTACATTTAAACAAAAAAATTTTTTTTAAAAATTATGCTAATGAAAGGACCACATAAAAACTTTATAGAACAATATTATTAACAAAAAGTTTCTAACACACAAAAAAAGAAGAAAGAAAACAAACAAACAAACAAATAGGCAAATAATAAAACGCATTCAAATTATGATCAACATGATCACAATGGAATACAATATGAACAGACTTCCTAACTTAAATTAATTAACTAATAAGTAAGCATAAATGAAAATAGGAAACAATAAGTGAAAATAAAATGACTAGGAGTGAGTGAGTGAGTGAGTGAGCGAGAGAGCGAGCGAGAGAGAGAGAGATGAGGGTGAGAACGATTTCATATCAGTATATAATATACTAATCCGCCCCCCCCCTTTTCATTGATTTCAATACATTTTGGCATTATCTATGATTATTTACTGTTGTTATAATATGTGGTGGTGTTTCTCTAGAATATAAAATATAAAATCACTATAACTGTTATTCATAGGATCTATTGGAAACACATTAACTACAGTTCTTAATTAGTAATAAAAATTCAATAATAGTAATAATAATTATTATTAACTATATTAATGATGATGATGATTATCATTACGGAAGAACTTAACTTAATTTCAGATCATTATCATAATTTCAAACTCATTACGATAAAAGATCTAATTGATTATTCATAGAATAAATAACCTGGAGAAAAAACAAAACAACAACACTAGATTACTGAACTATTTAATTAGACTATTTGATTGGCATATTATTGATAGGTTTCTTTAATATAATTAAAACACCTAAAAGCCTGTTTTGATTTATAGATTTTATTGTTCAAATATATGATCAGTTAGTTAGTTAGTTAGTTAGTTATTATTCATCCTTCGTTGTCAAGGTGGAAGAATAAAAATATCATTCTTTCTTAATACAATAATTTTAGAATAATGGATTATATCTACCATAAGAGAAATGGGCCAGTTAGAATAAATGCACCAATTATGAATATTTTATCATTTTAATGAAAGTATTATTATTGATGTGAATAAATTAGTAAATATTTATTTTCAGAACGGGTTTTTGTAGATATTATAGCAATTTCATTTGTTGAAATCCTGAGTCAATCGAGGCTAGACAAGCATGGAAAACACGAAAGCACTAGACGGCCGTTTAATTCTATTGTACGACTCCTCAGAATTGCGCATCCACGATTCTGCCTCGCGTGATTCAAACACAGGACTTGTCAGCCTCACACGCGAGCGCTCAACCATTAGACCACTGAGCCAGCCACATCCAACGGTGTTAATATCTAACTGTTGAAATTACCCCTTCTCATAATGATCATGTGCTCACTAGTAAATGACTTGAAGAGACTTTCTCGGAGTTCAAGTGAGAAGCCGTTACCAGTGGAGTTCAACCAGATCTGTTGTGAGATATCAACTCATTGAAGACAATGGTGTTCAGTGGCACAATTTTGTGGATTGATTGAAGTTATACAATAACACCATTGGATGCCAGCTCAGTGGTCTAGTTTGTTAGGCACCTGGAGCGAGACTGATATGTTCTGGGTTCGAATTTCGTGAGGTGGGGCGGGGTCGTGGATGAGCATTGCTGAGGAGTCCCATACTAGAACGAAACGGCCGTCCAGTGCTTCCAGGTTTTCCATGGTTGTTTAGCTTCGATTGGTTCAGGATTTCAATCAGTGAAATATTTATTTGTCAGAAAGAAATTCGGTCATTAAAAATATATATTCAATCTTTAGATCAAATATAATTTCTTTTGAAATCAAGTCCCGGTTAGCATAAAACCTAGATCCACGGGTTTCTGTTGGTTACCTCCAACCGCCACCCTACTTCGAAACACAGTACATGTGATTTTCAGTAAATTACTTTAATGGTTAGTTTGTAGTGAGATAAATAGAGTTAGATCAACGTTGAGAGCTAAACAAATATGATAACGCTCACTACTCAGTTGCAGACTAATGTACAGATTAATCTACCTAACTCTGAGCAACACATTTTGTGCAATATTTGATCAACAATTCAGGGTTTTTTTGAAGCTAGAGTTCTTTGGGATTGGGTTTCAAACTTGTGTCTTAGTGGTTGAAAGTGGAGTGATTTAACATCTAAACCACAAATTACTGAGTTAGGACCAAAGGGAACGAAGGCACCACTTAGTATCTAAAGCATTATAATCAGGTTGTTGGAAATACTGTTACCGTTTGGTTTGAATAGTAACTAACAGATATGTTTTTTTAATCCAGTGAATGATTTGAACTTCATAGCTTTAGGTAGAATTTCTCTCAGTTTAAAGATTGACAAATAATTTATGTATGAAAATTTCCAATAAAAAACTTTTAGTTGGTGGGATTGTTCAGTTTGTGAGGAAGAAACCTTTCGAAGATAGTTGAAGATGGATGAGCAATAATTCGAACTGACCGAAAGTAAACTTGTACACAATTAGATCACAGGTTAAAGATTAAAATGTTGAGAGTTCGCGGGAGAGATTGAAGGTCTTAGGTTCGATTTTCGATGGAAATTTTCTATGGTATTAAATCATCTATCAATACCGGACAGAGTGAAGAAAAAAATAATTATCTCCCTAAAATACAATATGCAATTATGTCACTGGATCATAAACGAACGGACCATATTTTGGATTTTACTTAATCTCTATCGAGTTCATGATTGTGCATTAATGATAAGTCCTCATACTAGAAAAAAGAAGAAGTTATTCAGTATGGCGAGACTCTAAT